CTCGATCAGTTCAGTTCCAATAATTAAAACTTTCTTGCTCCCGCAAATGTACTTATAGTTTGTCAAACGCTTGGCCCCGACCCTTCCACCGTGTGGTGGATAGATTCGCCCAGGTCCAGGGGGTGGCAGGTCATTGCGTGCATCTCGCCCTCAGATGGCTACGGATACACATACGTACGTATATACTTAGATGTATGTATAAATATTGTTCTTTAACACCTTCTCTTGCCATTCCTCTTTTTCCTCCTCCTCCTACTTTTCCTCCCTCTCCTCCTTTCTTTGCTTTCTCTCTTTCGCTGTCTCTTTTCCTTTGCCTTCTATTCGCCTATTACTTCCTGTTTCTCTAATTTGTTCAAACGCATTTTCTTTCTTTCTTTTTCGTGTTTTCGTTTTTCTTTTCTTTTTTCTTTTTTGCTTTTCATCTTTTTTACTTTTTAGTTATTTTCTTCGTCTTTTTATGTCCATTTTTTTTTTCATTTACAAAAGGTTTGACTTTTTCTTTTTTTAAATTCTTCACATTTTTTTAACTTCTTTTCCTATTCCTTCCTTCTTACGTTTGGCATCTCCGACTTTCTTCCTTTCTTCCTTTCTTTCTTTCTTTTTCTTTCTTTCTTTCTTTCTTTCTTTCTTTCTTTCTTTCTTTCTTTCTGTTTGCTTTCTTTTTTACATTCTTTCTCTTTTCTTTCTTTTCTTTCTTTCTTCCACCGACATCGATGCTACCTTTAACAAAAGTCGATGCTAGAATCTAATCGAATATTCTACAGATAAACGAGAGAGATCGATAATCAGAATAACAAGGAAATATAATCAATCAATAAATATGTTTTATTAAAATCTAAAAGAAAAAGCAAAGAAAAAAATGTAAGCTTGGGTTTTGTAATATTAACGATTGTCTTTTTCCTCTGTTTTGTTTTCGGATCGATATTTTACGCCTTACTTATTAATGATTTTTAAGTAAAAAAATGTCCTTCTCTGACGCTCTGATACAGGTAATATATTTAGGTAGGATTTAATTATCTATCTATCTATCTATCTATCTATCTATCTATCTATCTATCTATCTATCTATCTATCCAACTATCTATCCCATTCTCTCTGCAGCTATCTATATATCAAGCTATATATATATATATATATATATGAAACCTCAATTGGCCCAACGCGCACTCGCACACGCACACGCACGCACAATTCATTTGCATATGTGTATGTACATTTTGGTAACTGTGCATGGTTTAATACATTTACATTTACACACGCATGCAGATAGATAGATAGATAGATAGATAGATAGATAGATAGTAATGGATAAGGTGGATAATGTCTGTACGTACAAATAAATTGCAGAAAATAAATACTAGTATGCAATGTGTATGTGAAATCATTCTATATTTATATATTCCTATGTATGTGTTTAAGTATTCGCTTAGCTGAAGTGTGTGTTTAGCTTTGACGCAATAAATAAAATAATATACATACAAACACACATAGATGTGTATATATATATTTGTATGTAATCATGCATGTGTGTGTGTGCGCGCCCGCTATGAGCATATAGATTGTATGCTTGTTTGCCTTACATGTCTTTATGCATGTAATGTGTGATGAATCTAGGTGTGTACATTGATAAGTGTGTGACATGTGTACGTACATTGTTGCGCGTTAGCAAACCTGTGCGTGTGAATCTGCGTGAGCAGTTGGCTGGATTCAACACCTGGTCGCCCCTTACGACGGGTTGAATGGAACAGTCCTTCACACCTACCTCACTATCCACTCCCGTCACCCCACTAACTCACTAGTTGCACTGCCCTCCTCTCGACATTGTTTATACCGAGTACAAGCGCACCGGTAATACGCAAGGCGACGCCCACCATTGCATTAAGGCAGGCTCGACCGAGACAGGGGTCACCCCGACATATAGGCGTCATTATATGTCCATGTGTTCGTATTGACGACAATTTAGAGGGAATGAGCGGCCGGCATTTGCGACGCTTACTGTACTTCGTTGTCTGTATTGCCTGTGCTTTTTTTGAGTATGTATATAAATTTAATGGTGTTGATGAGTAAAAAAAGAACTAAGAATTAATTTTATTTTTTAGGTGTCTGTGTCGGTATTCCTGTCTCTAAGCATGGGAGTATGAGAATGTATATGTTTGTACGTGAATATATATATATATATATATATATATGTTTGTGTGAGTGTGTGTGAGTGCGTGTGTGTGTGTGGATGTGTGTGTGTGTGGAGAAAAAGACAACAAAAATGGGATCGGATCATTGGTGAATAAAATAACTATGGCATTTCTAAATGCGTACGTATGAAAAAACACCAAGCCAGTCCGAATTTAAAAACATGTTTTTTCACGTATATATATATATATATATATATATATATATATATATATATATATATATTTGTGTATATTTAGGCAGCAATTTTTCATTAATGCATATTTCATTAGACAAGTTTTGTGTATATATATATATATATATATATATATATATATATATATATATATATGGTGGGTACTTTTTCAATATACACAAATTAATGCCAGTAAATAATAGGTGTCTTATGTTTGCATATATATATTTAATTTAGGTGTGTTTTTGTATATACAATGCTATGAATTATTGCGTATATATACATACATATACTTACAATCAATTTGTTAACCTATTAATCAAAAAGGATTAATGGATTATTCCGAGATTTTTATAACTTTAAACGTTATTATAGTTGATAATAATATTTGAAATAGATGCAGCGTTTTTATTTTTACTTTAAGCAGTGTTGATAATGATCCGAAATTGTCTACAAGCATGAAACAGACTGTCACCACACGGTGTTGATCTCAGTGTCCACCCTTATATTTATATACGCTCTATCCTTGACAGTCCTTTTACCTATATATGTGGCATACCATAAAACTATATATTTATTAATTCATATATATATATATATATATTAAGAATTAATGGATTAATTTATAATCCGACATATATTGCTTTAAATCGGAGTGGGTTTAGTTTTTTTAAAATGCTCTAAAATTCCACGTTTATAAAAATATTCGTACATTCGTGTTTTGTTAACAATTCACCAGTACTCTTTTGCGTATGTCTTGACGTGTGTTCATGTGTGTGCGTATGTATGTATGTGTGTGTGTGTGTGTCCTGAATGAATCGTAACACATACTGTAATTTTTTTTTTTTACAAACACAAAACTGAGTACTTACAAAAAGAGACAGTGTTTTCACAGGTCATTATTATTAACATATTTTCATTGACCTTAATTTTTCTACGTTTCACCAATTCCTGAGATCGAACCATCAACCGCATGGACATTAACTCAACGCCCGCCCCACGGGTTTTCTAATTTGTATAAAACATTTATGTATCCACATGTTAAATAAATACATACATACATACATACACACACACACACACACACACACACACACACACACACACACACACACACACACATATATATATATATATATATATATATATATATATATATATATATGTATGTATGTATGTATATGTGTGTGTTGCATATATTTATATATACATGTGTATGTGTGTGTGTATATATATATGTATGTGCGTGTGTGTTGCATATATTTACACATAGATTTGAAAGTGTGAACACATTTATCTATCTACGCGTCTGATTTTAATGAGTTTGTGTGTAAAGTGAATGTTGGATATATTTCGTCATGACTTCTCTCTCTCTCTCTCTCTCTCTCTCTCTATCTATCTATCTATCTATCTATCTATCTCTACCTCTCTTTCTCCGATGATCTATCTGTCTGTCTGTTTTCTTTCCCGCCTCTTTTTTCGCAATATCTCTTCCTGATTATGTGTCGTCCTTTTCTCTTCCCCAACCCGCCATAACTGACCTCTAACCTTCATTCTTCCAATCATTTACGGCTATAAATCCACCCATCAAAATGACACGCCTTCTCTCATACTCTCCTTCTCATCCTCTCACGCCATATTTATTTCCCCTTCTTCCTCATCCTAACGCGACAACACTCAGTTGGTCTTTCATGTTGTCTCCTCTCTTTCTTTTCTGTCTCCTCTCTTTCTCTTCTGTCTCCTCTCTTTCTCTTCTGTGTTCGTCTTTCTCTTTCTCCATGTTTATCTGTCTTGAAAATAAGAGAAAACTGTGCACTAAAAAATATGGCCCAAGTACTGTTGCACCTAATGTACTGTAGTCATGTGTACTTAGGACCATACGACTGTGTTATGCGTTTCTTCATTTCTTTGTGCTTTTTTTTCTTTTTTTCTTTCCTTTTTTTTTTCTTTTTTTCATTCATATCCTTCAGTTGTGTAAGCGCGGGCTTTTGTGTTGGTTGACAACCTGTGCGAGTAAGTTTTCACGTTAGGTAAGTGTGTTTACATATGAATTTACGTATGTGTGTGTGTGTGTGTGTGCTTATGCTTGTGTGTATGTGTGTGTGTGTGTGTGTGTGTATGCTTGTGCGTGTGTGCGCACGCGCGTGTCTGTATGAGTGCATGCGTGTGTGCATGTGCGTGTGGCTGAGCGTCATTATGTGTGTGAAGTGTGTGTGGGGGGAGAAGTGAGAGTCAGTGTGTGTGTGTGTGTGTGTGTGTGTGTGTGTGTGTGTGTGTGTATGTATGTGTGTGTGTGCGCACGCGCGTGTCTGTGTGAGTGCATGCGTGTGTGCATGTGCGTGTGGCTGAGCGTCATTATGTGTGTGAAGTGTGTGTGGGGGGAGAAGTGAGAGTCAGTGTGTGTGTGTGTGTGTGTGTGTGCGCGCGTGTGCATGCAAACAAGTGTAGTGTATCTGTGAAAGAGATATGAAACGAATTTACTTTTCTTCATTTCATGTTTTTTTTTTTATGTCTTGCATGTCTTTAGTTTCAATTCTTCTTAATGTAGGTGCGTATGTCTGCATGCGTACGTGCGAGCGTGTATGCGTATATGTACACACACACACACACACACGCACACTCACACACATATATATAT